CAGAATCATAATAGTTTCAGGTTTCAATTATGCTTAACCAGAAAGGAAACTCAAGTTGGTTTTGGTTATTAAGAAGAAGAAAAAAAAAAAACACCTTTGTTCTTCCATATGGGTTCAATGCAGAGATTGGAGACTCCTCTGTACAAGGAACTTCCTTTGGAGAACCATACACAGTAGCTGATGATGAAAACACAAGCTGGAAACAGAGTAGTAATACAGTAAGCTAAATCATATGCTCATCATCAACACAAAGACAAAACAGAAACATGTGGTTAGAAAATTTGGGGAAAAGTTTACATTTTTGCAGCCGTGTTGAGCCATAACTTCCAAAAGAGTAATAGTACCAACAAGATTATTATCATAGTAGAGTAATGGCTTCTCTACACTTTCACCAACTGCTTTAAGTCCAGCAAAGTGTATCACTGCATCAAACCTGTAAAAATCATAAAAAAATAATTCCACTTTCCATCAAAAACTGAAACACAATTATGTAATAAAGTGGTTTTTTGTTTTTTTTTATTAATCAATCATACTTTGTTTCTGAGAAAATCTTCTCAAGGGCAGGCTTGTCTCGGAGATCCATCTACAGTTATACAAAAAAGTTTTAAAGAACTTTTGATTCTTAAGGTTATGATAATAATTAAAACAAAACAATCTAAATTCAACAATAATGGCAACAAGCTCATGTTTTGTTATCTGTGCATAAAAACAAGATTAAATTCTCAAGGACAACAACACAATTTCATACAGATCACAAAACTATACAAAAATAGAAAATTGTTTATTATTACTTTACTCTTTCACATGGTACTTATAATTGGGAAATTCCAATACATATTCTTTGATATACAAACAAAAGAAGTGGTAATAATTGCTGATAAATACTAATAAAAAAATTCGGGAATCAAAACAATCTACGAAAATTGATATTTTTATTCCGATAATTTAGGTCCCAAAAGAAAAATCAGAAAAGAGAAACGAGTCAATTTCGTTGAAATCAAACGTCTTTTTCATAACCCTAAAAACAAGCAAAAGTTTCACCGAACCTGATTAAAGGAGAGACGTTCACCGTGTTCGCCGGCGAGTTTCTTCACGCGCTCAAGAGAGACGACGGAGGAATTGTCGAGATTATCAACAACTACGACGGAGTAATCGCCGATAAGCAATTGAAGCACCGTGTGACTTCCGATGTAACCTGCACCACCGGTTACTAGAACGTTCTTAGCCATCATCGTTTTTTTACAAGCCAAGGAATTTGTTAAAACTGTAAAAGGAAAAGAAGAGAAATGTGTGATTTGTTTTGTGATATACACAGCGAAAAAGGGTTTGGGGGGTTTTAATTTATAGGAAAAGTGGTTATGGTTACGTAATTTCATTAAACATGAATATTTTTTGAATATAAAAACTTTGGCTTATTTCTTTAGTTTGACCCCCAATAATAAAAATAATACGCAGATTATTACGTTTTCCGATTAAGGGAATAGAGAATGTGCCACGTGCGAGTTGAAATTTCAGTTATCGAAAACTACCCCTTTAAAAAGTTAAAACGTCTTCTTAATTAAGCTTTTGCTTTACTAATTAACGGCAAATATTAACGGAATCGAAGAGAGAATTAAAACCGTGGAATTGTTTTTGTGTTACATAACTGATAATTTATTTTTGTGAAATTTAAAAAAATACTACTTTTCAAGCGTCATTTTACAAAAATGTCACATTTTTAAAATCTTTATAAAAATACTATTTTTTCAAAATTATTTTTTGATTATATAA